CGCTTATATTTAATGTTGGTTGTAGACCGTAATCTGTTTGTAGNATATCACATAATGTCGTGAAACATGGAAGTGGCATTCGGAGTAACTGAAGACANGCAGCATCATCTTGCTGTAATCGACGCCAAATATTCCTCCATCNCAAACCTCCATCGGTTTGGACGGGTGCTCTTTGAAAATAGCGCTCATAGTAAGTCAAAGTTGGCTGAATTATTAGCTCCTCAAATTGGTCATTTTCTAAATTCCATAGTTCAATTCCTTCTTCGTAGTTTAAATTATGGAGGCCTTGTGATCGCAGCTGGCATATACGAAAAACCTGAAGTTTTATAACAACGAGAAAAACTTATTAGAGGTAAATATAAAATTACAAAAATAACACAAACTTCAAAAGGCAAACAAGTAAAAACATTAATTATTTCATAACATAAACGAAAATGTATAACACGCCCATCATTAACTAATCGTCGTCTCCTAAATCGCTTTGATGACTACTCGTGCTTGGATCTTCAGGGTTACCCNAAATATTGAATAGACCTCCTTGTCTAGGTGTTTGTGAACCATGACCAGTGTCAAAATAATTTGTAAAACCGAACCCANATGATGAAGGTTNTCGAACGCTCGGTGGAGTTCCTACTTGACTTCCAAGTGAAAATCCATATTGAACATTTGTTGGAGTCGTTCCCGATGAACCGCCTTGTTGAAAGTTTGGTGGTGCTCCCCATTGCTGAGCGTTTGGTGGTGNGCCCCATTGCTGAGCATTTGGTGGTGTACCCCATTGCTGACCATTTGGTGGTGTGNCCCATTGTGGAGCAATTGGTGGTGAACCACCCCATTGTTGAAGATTCGGTGGTGTTCCCCATTGTTGAAAACTAGGGCCCNATGAACCAGCTGCATTACGGCCTCCAGAATTGTTACCCACAGAAGATGGACTCCCAGATGATAGACCTCCTGAATGTGGACTCCCGAATGATTGACTTGAACCTAATTGTTTTGGCACATCTTGATTGTTTCGTGAAACACCAGTCATAGCTTCTAGCAGTTGTAGCTTATCCTCATCGGTGCTTCTAGCTATATCGATGAAATACTTACGCCAAA